CATATATATATACATTTTAAATTTCAAAAAATTGAAGAAAAAATTTATAAAACCTTGCTAAATATATTTATATAAAACATACCTGTAAGCTACCATTTCATTCTCTGGTACTTCCCAGTTCAAAACAACTTCACCCTTTTCAAATCAAAATGGTTACATGAAGAATAACATTATACTCATCATTAATAATTTTTTTTTTTAAATAAATTTTACCAGTTCTTTGAGCAATTCTTTCCTGGATATTTTAGCTGGTGACCATACTTCAGGTCCATCACTAGCAAGATGAGCAACAATTCCAGCAGCAAAATAACTTACATCTATGTGTTCAGAACGAAGAAGTGATCTGAAACAGTTATAAAAATCAAAATAAAGAAGTCTGAACAGCTTTTAAATTTTTAATTATTTACTATTTTTCCTTGAAAATTTTGTAAAATTTTCAAGAGAAAACAGTAAATATCCTGTTGTTAATTAAATTAAAATTTAAAATATAAATGCATATAACATTATCAAATGATTTAAAATATTTCAATTTAAAATATTTGATATTTTACATTGTACACAAAGTAAATCAAATTTTCTTTGAAATTAATATCATAATTAATGGAATAATTGTATATGTCTGATTTCAGAAAAGGTGTTTTTCTCAATTTGAGAACTTCAGCGTAATACAGTTTCATACAGATTTCATGTTCTTCCAAATGTTTACATGACAGGACTATAATTGGAATCACAAAATAATAATGATTCAGAGAATTATGTAATTAAAATCAGACATAAGTTATATATACATAATGAATCCAATTTAACATTTATTCTTTTAGATTGTTATTAAACAATCTTCAGACAGATATCAAAATTACTTAATGTTTCTGGTTAGATCAGAGAGTAATGGGAGACTTGCAAGGCACATTCTATGTCACACCTTCTGTAGAATAAATATACTATGATATTGAAATGTGTAACAAGAGCTTCCTATTGCCATTGGATATCAAAACTTTGTTACTATAAAAAATAAGAGTAGGCACCCTTGTTATATCGATTCTTATATTTAAATAGTAATTATTCTAATTATAAACTCATAATTGAATAATTACTATTTAAATATAAAAAACTTTGTTTGAAATTTTAAAGTTCTTTTAATTTTAAAATTTCAAAGAGTCAAACAAATTATAAAGTATTAACTTACTCTTTAACTTATAGTTAGATAATGACTTGTTTGGTATTAAATATCTATTGTAATTTTAAAATCTGAATAAGAATAATTCATTAATATATCCAAATATTTGACAGAAAAGAAATGTAAAATATCAAATACAATAGAAAAAAAATTATATTGAAATATTTTACTAATGGTAAATTAATAAAATATTTTAACAATTTTTTTAACTTTAAATCATTTTTCATATACATTTCATTAAAAAGCATAGAGATTTAAATAATTATTACCTCAAAACATATAAAAATTCATCTTTCATTAAATCTTTTCTTAAGTGAGCAACTTCTGCAATATTATTCTATTCAGAACAAAAATTTTTATATTCATTACTTTCTTAGCAATAAAATAGAATTTAACAATTATTATATTATGTTCCTATAAATAGAAAATAATTTTTATATAAAATTTCCCTATTCAATTTAAAATTTGTATATGAAATTTAAAAAAAAAAAAAACATTCAATAACTTCTATAACATCTTTTACATTAATATTACGTTTAATTTAGTAAATAATTCAAACAATATACAATATTAATTATATTTGAAGAAGACATTTAACTCACCACCAATCCCAAAACTTTTGTTTCAACTGCACTTTCATTTGTAAATTTCTATAATAAAGTAAGGATTATAAATTCCTATGTTTTATAATTTAATTATTTTTTATAAAACCTAGTACATTTTTTTCTTCATTTTTTCAAAAAATATTTAAAAATTACTTTCATAAACTTGTAAATATTTATTTCAACGAAAATAGTTTTTGAAATCAATAGTTCTATATTTAGCATAATTCTCTTATCCTTTAATGGAAAAATGATAACTGAAAACAGTCATTAAATTAATTTTTTGTAGAAAGGTACTTGTGTGTTTTCCTAAACATATATTTTAAATATGAAATTCAATATCTTAAAAAAATAACAATAATCCTTTAGTTTATAAACAAATTTATTTTTATTAATTTGAATTATATAGTCTAAACTTGAATTTAACTAAATGCTCTCAAATATAAATTTTTATCTTACAAAATTACAATTTTAATAAAGTTTACATAAAATTACATAAAAATATAACCAATGCCCAAAGAAATTTAAGTGATTAATATAGTTTCTATTTGTTTAACCTGGTGCCACTCACGGTCAATTTGTAATGCTATTACTCAAGGGTGAGCGTTGCACTCACCTACAAATTTTCATATTTTTAGTGATTTGTCTTGAGAGAAATTTTACTTAGATTAGGAAGTTTGTTATGAATAATACACATTTTAATGTTTACCTTACTTTACTTCAGTTAGAATACATTAAAAGAAATATCAATTTTCTGTTTCTATATTGAAATCTGATCAGATCGATGATATTGATAAAACAGAAATATGATATCTGAAATTATTGTTAACCTTAATTATAATTTCTATTCAAGTCTGAATCAGTTTAATCTGAATTTTTAAAATGGCAAACAAACCATTTTAAAAATTCAGACATGTTATTATGTGGTATCTGCAGATTGATGTTACACTCTCAGATGCTGTTTTCCTATTCTTTTTTGGGGGGCAAAATACATTTTTCTCTGATGTTGCATGTGGAGGATCTGGTTGCTTTTTCAACACTTCCAGAATTTTCATATGGAATTCCTCACTCTCATTGTCTGCAAGGAAAAAGCCTATGTTTTCTTCCTCAGACTCCTCCTCAACCCATTTTAGAAACGTTTCATCATGTTTTATAATAGTACATATATACAATATCATTTCACAATTAGAATCATACCACTTCAAATAAAAAAAAACCATAGGATTACTCACAGGTGAGTGCCACTCTAACCTGTAAAACAAAGGCAGCTCTGAAAGTGTTAGCAATGACTATTATTTCCAATTCTTGTATCTTATCAAAGGGGATACTCAGGAAGGAGGTTAGATAAGAGTTTGGCCACAAACCTTTCAAGAAGCCCAAGTTACAATCATTTTAATACGAAAGGTGAGTGCAGCGCTTACCCTCGAGTAACAGAGGGTTTTCGAATAATACTGAATAATACTGAATTGATATTCCTGAAGTCCTTAAAATAATTTATAAGATCTAGTTTAAAATCTCAAATATAAAGGTAAATCTAAACAAATTTTAAGACACACAATAATTAACAATGCAATATTTACCTCTAATACTTTTAAAAATAACTCCATACCACCCATACTTAAAAATACAGAGCAAGTACTCGGTGATTCATCTATAAAAGAAACATTAAATTAATTTAAGCAATTTAATTATAATTAATGTATTGTCTTGATATATGCTTTTATCAGAATGAGAGATGTCTGGATATTTGATTCTAACATATTTGCTACTATTTCAAAATTCACAAATAATTATATTTTAGTCTGTATAGTTTTGAAGATTTTCTGAAAATTATTTTCAAATTTAAGTCATTGATCTTTCATGATTATTTTTAAACATGAAACAGTTAGCAAATCCATAAGTAGAACTGCAGATCATTAATAATTAATTGTAAAAATATTCCTGATCTAATCTTGTAGAAAAATATTACCTAAAACATTGGTTCACTGTGGACCAGTTGTAATCTACAGACTGATCTAGTCATTTATCCAAAATAGAATTCTGTGCTGTTTAGGTTAGTGAAATGAACATTTTCACATTTCTCTTATTAGATTGCCAACTAGACAAAATATTTTGGCACACAACTAAGATGTTATTTATAAGATAAGAAGTGGATAAAAGCATAGGTTGTACATGGTTCATCTTTGGCTCAGTTTAAGTGGTCTGCAGATTATGTAATTTTAAAAACCACTGATCTAAAATATCCAGAACTTATTCTAGCTTTAATTATAAAATGAATTGTGTACATATTAGTCTTTTTACAATTGCATCTATTTATATGTAATTATATGTATAATATGTACTTACATACATTAAGTAGATATAGTGTACAGTACATATATGAGAAAGAAATTTTTACTCAGAAATCATTTTATCACCACAAATCAAAACAAAAGCTTATAAAATATATACCATTAAAAACAGGATATTTTAAAAAATATTATACTAAATATATAATTTCATTTAAGCTTTTTAAAAACAAAATTATATTTAACTGAAAATAATAATTTCTTTATATATTCGAGTATTAAGAAAATAAGAAAAATTAACAGTAGCCCAAAATACAGAAAAAATATTGCTCTCTGATTAAATACTTTCCAATACTGACATCAATAGGTTAAATTTTATTACTTACCTGTTAAATTCCATAATGCACTAAGGGTAAATTTCATCATAATATCAACTTCACCAGTTTGAGTTTTGATTTTTACAATGTTTAGAAGACGTTCCATGTAAGGTGGACTTGCTCCTAAACATGTTGTCTCTGTAGTTGATATCTATCATTCAAAATGGAACTCAATTGAATAAAGGTATTATTACTTTTTAATTCTCGTGTAATTTCTTAATTATTCACACATGAACTTACTTTGGCAGCTAGTATAGAACATATAGCTACTGACATTCTATTCATGGATGGATCATCAAAGATAACTAAAGAATCCATAACTAATTTGGCACAGCGATAACGGTCAAAAGGCTAAGTAATGGAAAATAATTAAAAATAAACTACATTTGACATATATAACGTAAATATAAAAACAATTAAAAATGCCACCTACACAGTTGCAACAGTTAATCTATGTTATCATAAAAGGACTTCCAGGCTATTGATAAACCTTCAGCATCAAGACGATAGTTGAATCATTAAAAAAAAAGGCCCCCAAAATCTGGGGTTGTCTTATAGGACAGATACAAAAGAAATTAGATTGAAATTTATATAAATTAAAACCATCATAAAAAGACAGACAAACCATAATTATTTACTAGAAGAGAGTATGGTATGTGCACAAAATAGAATAGCCCATACGACGTTTTCGTGAATAGTCAAGGTCATTACCTGAATGCTGAATCAGTGTGAATGTTTGCAACAATTGGAAGGCAGTGCTGCCAGATGCAAGAAAATAAAATTTGTTCATTTGAAAAATTGCAAACAGGACATAATTCTGTATACACTATACAGTATTATTATTCAAATGATGATCGTTGACCTAAACTATATTCATAGGCTGTTGATAGTTTGGAGTCGTCTAATAGGACAGATATATGCTAAAACTATAAAATTTTGATGAAAATTTATACCTCATCTTATCTGCCAAGATATATGTAAATAAATTTTTAAAATCCTAATTAGTGTGTTTTAAAATGAATATTAGAAAGAAGAGATTGCTATCATAATTTTTCAATTTATAATAAAATATCAAAGAATCTAAAATTAAATTTGTAACATCACAAAAATTGTTGTTCTCAAAAATATTAACTTTGGAAACAAAATTTTAATTTATTACTCTTTCCTATTGTTAACAGAAAATGTATTTTATCATATCATATTGAAGTTCTGCACTAACAAACATTTTATATGAAAATTGAAATGCAATCATTTTAAAATATATTTACAATTCATTCTTCTTCATCACCAGTAATAATAATTTTAAAATAATAGAAGATTTAATAAGAAGAAAACAAAAATTTACTAGTATATTAGTACTGTACATCATCTTTAGTAAATTTTATTATATTATTTTATATTTATTTATATTTTTAT